AAACAGTCAGCTTTTTTCTCCGCATGCTCTAGTCAGTTTTTAGACTCCCTTAGCCATCAGTGTCGTAGGTCCAAATAATAAAGTGGGTTATTTAAACTACTGAAGCAGATTTCGTCCAATATCTACTACATATCCTTTCCATTGCCTTTACTTATTTAGTAAAACAACTACTACAACTGCACTTTTACCTCAGTAAATTCCACACTACCGTTCTGAACACATAATGATTTTGTTTCCACGCAAATACTATAGACTACTAACACTCCTTTTCCTTACATATTCTTTTAGACTCTATTTGGGATTCACTTCAAATCTTCCATCCCCTATTCTTCCTCCTTCACCACTTTTTGAATTTATTAATTGGTTCAATTCCTGTTTTACTCGATAAGGCTTGCAATTCTCCGATAACTGTACACAAAAAACGTAAAGAACGAGATGTTATTATGAAATATAAATCTGTAGCAAAATTTTAGCACCAAGAACAACTTCTTAGTAAATTAGCAATTCAGTGTGTAAACTAACAGTCCTCCGTCTCCTACAGCAGAGAGATACTTATTTTATTACCGATGTTACTAAAGATTATTTTATAAACCACCACAGATTCTCTTAAGATTAATCACTCAATTATATATTTAAAGTACAAAGTAATACGGCAGATACACGCTGATAAAATCGGTCAGAAAACAGTATTAGCTGATAATACGCACAGAATTTAATACTTATATCTGTACTTAATAATAACCTATACCGATGTCACACTTCCATGGATACTCTGATATCCAATTAACCATCTACAGTAATTTAAATTACCAATCGATCTGCTTTAAGAATTATCCAAATTACCCACATTTTATCCAATGTGTCCATTATCATTTTATCCATTATCCAAATTTTACAATTATTTCGTGACTTACTCACAACTCCAAATTTTTTGATTTATGCTAAGGTATGCGCACAGCTCACGTCAGCTCTCAGCTTGACCTGTAGTTCGATAGACCCCCTACCACTCTATTCACTCATTCATATTTAGCACTCCGTCCATCCGGTCTCAATCTCTTCTTTTCTGCCAAACCTCGACTTACTCAGACTGAACTAACCGAATATTCTGCTACACTTTATTACCACACTCAACAATTCACAAAAAATGAGCGAGAATTATATACGCAAACAGTAAATACGTTTGTCAAATAAGTAAAAGTAACCAAAACTCAAAGTCCTCATAAATTCCAAACAACCAGAACTAAAATAAAACTTACTGCTGTCATTAAGATCTGTCCCAAGACAAAATCAACTGTTCCCCTCTCTAACAGCCTGTCAGTCACACTTATTATATAATGAAAACCGTTACATTTATTAAAACTGCGAAAAAAAGGATAAGACTAGCAAAATCAAAGCTTGAAAATTTACACCCAGTGAAGTTCAAAATCGGCTGCTGCTGCAACAATCACAACAACAATACCGCTGACGGAATAAAAC